CCCAGGCTGGTCTTGAATCCCTGGGCCCAGGCGGTTCTCTTGCTTCGTTCTGCTAAAGTGCAGGTTTGAGCCACTGCACTCGGCCCTACCTGTTCTCTTTTACTTTTTCTGTTTTTTTAAGTCAGCATTTCATTTTGTTCCTCAAGCTGGAGTGCAGTGACGCAATCACAGCTCACCACAGCCTTTACCTCCTGGGCTCAGGTGATCCTTCTTCCTTAGCCTCCCAAGTAGCTGGTACTACAGGTGCATGTCACCACACCTGGGCAATTTTTAAATTTCTTTGTAGAGATGGGTTCTCACTATGTTGCCCAGGCTGACCTTAAACTCCTGGGCTCAAGCAATCCTCCCACCTCAGCCTCCCAGAGTGCTGGGATTATAGGCATGATCCACTGTGCCCAGTCTGCTGTTCTCTTTGAGGTCATAAAAACACAGTAGTCTCTGCTTGGCCTTCCTTTGACCGTGCTACTTAAACTCTCACCCACCCCACCAGTCACCATCATGTCATCTTGCTTCATTTTTCTTCACAATATTTGTTGACTTATTTATGTGTCTGTTATGTCTCCCCCACTGGAATGTAAGTCCACGAAGGCAGGGACTTAGTAGACACTTAGTGCATATTTTTGAAAAATGAATATGGAGCAGAAATTCCGTGTTAGTCATCTTCTCTAAAATCCAAAAAAACTAGTAAAAACAAACGCCTTCCCTGTCTTTATTAAATGCTCAAAATGGAGCCGTGACAGGGAAGAGATGGAAGAAGTCAAAGATACAGATTTCAAGGGGTTTCAATCTAACTGGAAGACAAATTATAGAGACATGTAACAAGCGACGAGCCAAACTCTTAAGTGCATGATTGTTAAGTGGGAACTCGGATATACTTACATCTGTGAGGGATGAGGGGATAAGGCCTGTATGGAGTATGGGGTTTGGCACCAGATCGAGAGCAGAGGTTCTCAAACTTGAACCTGCACAAGAATCACCTGGAAGGCCTCTAAAACCCACACCACTTGCCCCACCCCCAGAGTTTCCAATTGGTAGGTCTGAGTCGGGCCTGGAGATGTACATTTCTGACAAGTTCCCAGGTGATACTGATGAGGCTAGGGATGGGGGAACCCTAATTTGAGAACTACTGTGTAGCAAGGGTTGGCTCTATAAGGCTTGCCTGCTTTTTAAATCACGTTTTGGGCTGGGCTCAGTGGCTCAGCCTGTAATCCCAGCGCTTTGGGAGGCCGAGGTGAGTGAATTACCTGAACCCGTGGATTCGAGACCAGTCCTGGCCACTTGGTGAGACCTTGTCTCTACAATAAATAAATAAATAAAAATTAGCCAGGTGTGGTAGTGCACACCTGTAGTTCCTGCTACTTGGAAGGTTGAGGCAGAAGGATCGCCGGAGACCAGCAGGTGGACGCTGGGGTGGCCGTGAGTGTGCCATGGCACTCCAGCCTGGGTAACAGAGTGGAACTCCAACTCAAAAAAAAAAAAAAAAAAAAAAAAATTAATAAGGAACACACTGCCATGGCCACTCATTTGCATATTGCCAATGACTGCTTTTAGGCAACAACAAGTTGAATAGTCTCAAGACCATATGGCCTGCAGAGCCTCAATTATTTACTACCTGGCCCTTTATAGAAAAAGTTCACGGAGCCCTGGAGAGGACATCGCAGCCCATGGCTGGCAGATGGAAACCTCAGACCTGAAGATTTCTCAAAAAGAAAGGGACCCGCCGCCGAGAGCTATTAATATACTCTCACAGCTTGTAGTCGAAGCCCAATGATGACTCGTGTAGGATAAAGGACATCACCCAGATGACATTTTGCTTCCAAAGCTCTGGGGCCACATGTGGAAGAACTGCAGGGACATTATGTTAGAATGTTCTTGTGTCTGAGTGCGGTGAGATTCCTCTTGTAACACGGTGCAGCCCCTTAGTCTGAGGGTGTGTCTCCTGTGAGCTTAGGCACTTCTGAACCAGGGAGCATGTTCACAGGGCACTGGTCTGTGCAAAGACAGTGTTTGGCCTATGATTATGCCCTGAAGGGCGGGGACCTAGGAGACCTTAGCCTTCCCACCAGGTGTAATCCTTCCCTCCTATAGTACCTCGAGAGTCCAGTAGTTAAGCACTTTGTGCCCTGGTCTGTGGTCCACTTGGGGTGACAGAGACACACGAGACCCAGAGCAAAATGCGGCATGATGTATCATCACTGCTGAGCCTTTGGGAGTCCCTGAAAGTGCTTCCCAATGTCGAAGCTCTTGGGATCAGGGTGAATGCATGTTAGGAACCGCCATTGCCTCTGGGTCTCTAAGTCTGGTCGTGAATTGGTTCCCAGATGCTCACTGATGGATGGGCAGCATCAGAATCGTCTGAGCATCTTTCTAAAAATGCATATGCAAAATTCATATGCATGTGCCCATCGTCCCTGGCGAGTTTGATTTTCAGCAGGTTTGGGGTGGATTCCTACTTGTAAGAACTCCCCACTCCTCTCTTAAGTGACTGTGACTCCCAGCAAGCAAAGGGGACATCATGGAACCCGATGTCTATTTCAGCGTTTCAACAGATTCGAGGCGGTATTAGCTCCACAGGCTCCCTGGATTCTGCTTTCTCTGCAGAATCTGCTAGTGGGCCTTAAATCCCCAAAGAAGCTCCCTGTCGTGAGCCACTGGAGCTCTTGACTGGCTGTGACTGAGATGAGACTTCCAGTTTTAACCAGAATGCAAAGGGGGATTCTACCCTTCCCGCCTGTGAGCCTTGTTTATCCACCCCTACGAGGGCCTGGTTTTCTTCTGAAGAGCAATGTCTTCCAAACAGTGGACTGAAAACTATTCATGGGCTATGAAATCCGTTGTAGAGGAGTAGAGGCTTCAACCAGCAAGCAAAGCATTTAAATAGACTAGAAAAAAAACACAGAGTACACCGTGTGTGGAAAGGACAAGTGTCACCCTGTAGGACTTTTTTGTACCCTGGGTTGCTGTGTTTCTTTTTTTTTTTTTTTTTTTTTTGAATCGGAGTCTCACTCTGTCGCCCAGACTGGAATGTAATGGTCACTCCCGGCCACCGCAGCCTCGACCTGCTGGGCTCCGGCGATCCTTCCGCCTCAGCCTTCCGAGTAATCAGAATTACAGGCATGTGCTACTACACCCGGCTGATTTTTTGATTTATTGTAGAGACAAGGTCTCGCCAAGTTACCCAGGTGGGCCTCGAACCCGCGGGCTCAGGCCATCCACTCACCTCAGCCTCCCAAAGCGCGGGATTACAGGCTGAGCCACCGAGCCCAGCTGGTTGCTGTGTTTCTTACTGTGCGTCATGGCGAAGCTGCCCTAGTCCCTGCTGGATGGCATACATCAACGATGACCCTCACTTACCTAAAGCGGAGCTCATCTCTGCTTGCAGAGACCTGGTGGGGGGAAGTCACCAGGGAGGGCAGGCCGCCTAACACAAGCACTTAGGGAGGCTACCTGCAACTAAGAAAATCAGCCTGTGGGTGGAGGGAGATCAATCCAGGCAGTTTTATGAATGGCTGTCCCCTGGGGGCGTGCAGGGTCTTCGTGGAGCTGGCTCTGGCTGGGTTTCAGTTTCTTTCCTTGAAATGGAGATCATCACTTTCCTGACTGTTGCTGTTATGGGAAAAACCAAATTAAGGGAAATAAAATTCTAGCAAAGGATGAACCACAAAGCTCAGGCTCAGTAATGGCCTTTAATGATGGCTTGGTAGGTGTGTTTCTATGGGCATCGGGGCAGAAAGAGAAGCTGGCACTCAAATCAAGCCTAGGCAACGTGGGAGTCCCAGAGGTGTACATGGCATACAGGCCACATAAGCTGAAGGCAAGGGGGCTTTCTTCTTCTGCCTCTTGGCAGGCAGCTGGGCTCCTAGGGGCTAACCTCTCACAGCACACTGGTCTGACTCGGTGACCTTGAAGGGGCTGAATGGAACCCACAGGATGAGGGGACCAGCTCACAGAGCATCCATTGTGTGCTGCCCCCGAGCGGCCAGGAGTGTCTTCTGCCACCTGGGAGGGGCTGGGGACTGAGGATGGGATTAGTTTGGGGAGCACGGGGCGGCGACTGTTTCTGGGGCTGCTGATTTTGAAGCAGCTTTGCTACCCTCTCTTAGGGAAAAGGAAGGAGGAGAAAGGGGAGGGTGTGCTTTTGGAGGGGAACTCATAGAGGGTGGGAGAAACGAAAGCCCTGAAGGCCCTAAGGGGTCTGGGGTGAAAGATAAAAATTTGAAGGGTGCCACTTACAATGAAACCCTTAACGTGAAAATTTGAAGGTAAACGAAAATTTAAGGGCGCCACTTACAATGAAACCCCTAACGTGGCCCTGGCCACTTCTGCTTTTCCCTCTTTAAAGTTCTCACAAAGTTACAAAATGAAAAAGAAAATTGACAATGCAAAGATGGAATTTTAAAAATAGAGGGACGCTTCAAGCTGCAGGGTGACGACCTTTTATCCTGCTGGTGACCCTGTGGCTGTCCCTTAGTGACCCCATGCTTTGTGGGCAGGCTGGCCAAGGAGGGGAGGCCCTCACCCCACTCCTGCCAGCTGACACCCCAGAGGGTTGCAGGGTTCCGGCTCTGTACAGAGCTCCAGGCTGGCCGCGGCTGGACCCTGGGGATGGATGTGTCTTACCAAGAGGCCTGGCACATCTGCTGCAGGCGGGCCGCAGAGATAACAACTAATCAGACCTTAACCTACATTGTACATGCCTTTCCTGGACTGAAAAAGAGAACAACAAGAAACAAAACCAGTCACAAAAATAATAAAACAACCAAAGACTCAAATGTGTGGAATACCCAAGGTCATTAGAACTGCCCAGAATGTCACTCAGGCAAAGACCACGAAGGTCTGGCCAAGGACCTGCTGGGTAAATGCAGCTCTGATTCCCTGGCCTTAGCTTCCTGGCCCTCTTTCTAACTGCATTACCAAGCTCCCTCTCCCCAGTCCCCCTTGAGCTAGCTATTCTGCTGTTTTGTTCCCTTCAGTTTTCTCACTGCTACCCACAAATGATATCAGGTTGAACAAAGACATTTATTTGTAAAACCAATTCCCAATGGAGGAGAGATTGTATCTGTAGAAAGTAAACCTGGGATCACCGAGAGGGCCACATGCACACATTAGTGAGACCAAGGGAAAACCCAAAAGACGGCCCTGCTGTGGACACCCGCGTGGCTACCAATCCGGCCAACAGAAAAGCAAAATGTCCTTTCCGCTTGAGGACACGGATGCACCAAGATGTCCTGTGAGAAGGCAATGTGGTCTGACATCCACGATGAAGTGAGCAGGGGACAGTTGGGGGGCTTCTTTCTCTATTCCGCGCGGCCTGTTTGCTTCCCGCAGACACTGGCCAGTCGCTTCCGCGGTCCACCCTCCAGCAGGAGGGAGGCGGTGTCATGCCCTGGCCCTCTCACATGCCCATCCGTATGCTCTGAATGATCTGGAAGATGGCTGAAAGAGGAAAACGAAACAGTCGGCTCAGACACCAGACAGCACACAGCTGGGAGCCCAGCCCACAGAGAGCCTGCGACCTGGCCCTGTGTGAGCTCACAGCTGATTAGATATTTCCTAACAAGGAGTTAAGTTAACAAGAGGTCAGTGAACTTCTTTAAAGAGGCAGCCTCGCTCTGTCTGCTGATGGATGCCTCAGGGATTTATAGATAACTCCTGCTAATTCCACCAGCAGTTAAGGCCAGAAATCCCTCAGGCACTGAGAGATTTGGCCCCCTTCCCCAGTCCTGTTCTGCGGCTGCTGGGGAGAGGGATGTGTGCCTTCGTGCAGAAACTGCACTCATTAAACAGGTCAGCGGGTCTGCCTTTTCAAAATGGCTGTGACCTGTCGAGCAACCAGCACTGTGCTGGGAAGGCAGGCCAGGTGCTCTGTGCAGGTCCTCTGGCTTGCCCAGGCTGCCCAGAGCCGGGGATGCAAGCCTGTCTTCTGGCTGCCTGGAATGCTCTCAAGTGCTGCTGTCTCACGGAGAGCAGCACTGATCCATTCAGGTCTCAATCTCTACCAGCCGGGCTTGTCAAGGGGGTGGGTACCTGCAAGCCCTCAGAGAACTCCTGGGACCCCTCACCTTATGCTGATGAGTGCTGGTTAGATAGCTACCAGCTGGCTTCTAGCTACTGAGTATCAAATGTGTCCCAGAAGAGGAAGGTCCCAACTTTTTTTTTCTTTTTGACTCCGGGTCTCACTCTGTCACTCAGGTTGGATAGCAGTGGTATAATCACGTCTCACCACAGCCTTGACCTTCTGGGCTCAGACAATCCTTCCACTCAGCCCCCGAGTCGTTGATACTAGAGGTGCGTGCTACCATGCCTGGCTAGTTTTTCGATTTTTTTGTATAGACGAGGTCTCGTTATGTTGCCCAGGCTGGTCTTGAACTCCTGGGTTCAAGCAGTCTTCTTGCCTCCCTCCCAAAGTGCTGGAATTATAGATATGAGTCACTGCAACCTTGGTTAGTGTTGGTAGTGACAATGATCACGATGATAAGAGCAACTACCATATACCAAATGGTTTTTTTAAAGGGAGGTTGAGTATCATCTCATTTTTTTTTTTATTTTTTTTATTTTTATTTTTATTTTTGAGTTGCAGTCTCACTCTGTCGCCCAGACTGGAGTGCAGTGGCCGCTCCCGGCCACCGCAGCCTCGACCTGCTGGGCTCCGGCGATCCTTCCGCCTCAGCCTTCCAAGTAGCTGGAACTATAGGCGCACGCTACCACGCCCGGCTGATTTTTTGATTTATTGTAGAGATGAGGTCTCGCTGCCCAGGCGGGTCTCGAACCCGCGGTCTCAGGCAATCCACTCACCTCAGCCTCCCAAAGGCATGGGATTACAGGCTGAGCCACTGAGCCCGGCTCTCTCAGGGATCTTACTCCTATCTTTCATAAAGTCATCCTGAAATATATCCAGGATCCATAATAAAACAGGGCTATCCAGAACCCTAGGAAATGTCATTCAACATTTCATCATCTAGCATTAGTGAGCACATCTTTTGTGCCAGACACTGTGCTTCAGAGACACAAAGAGAAACAACACACAGGGACTTGGGGAATCTTTCTTGAACAGCTGGATTTTAAGGGTAGACAAAACACGAATGCATTTTTTGGCTTTCTTTTTTCCTTAAAAACTACACATCATCACTACCTTCCTAAATTGGAGACAGCAAGCATGTTTTTAATGTGAACTTTTCATGAGGGCTCAGTATCACCATGATGAAAACCAGTTACTGACAAGACTTTGTTGTGATATTGACACAGAGGTTGCAGTGTTTGATCTGACACCAAAATAGGTCTGGTCAGCTGAACTTCTGGGCTCTCATTTCTGCTTCTCATGCTTTTTAAAATCTCCTTATCTCTGGTGTCACGACACCAATTTGCAGTGGGACCTTGGCTATTATTTTATTGCTGCAGACTAAGCTTAAAACAAAGACTGTTAGAACGATGAGACAAATCAGAGTAAATTGGTTCCGTGTGAGTGTCTGAGGGGCTCATCTGTAGATACGGTGAAGGAGTTCGTTCAACAACATGTGATAGTTAATCCTGGGTGTGTTCTAAAGGTTTCTTGGCTAATTTTGGGTTCTCGGGCAGGTCTTGACAGAGGTAGTTGCTAGATGGAAAAGAAAGTACCCTACAAAAATTTATAAGCTTGCAGTTTATCTGTCCTCCCCTACGAAGGCTGACAAGGAGCAAAAATGAAATAAACATTCTGTGTCCTGGCTCAACTGGAATGCCAAGAGGCAGCTGTATATTCAACCACATTAGGAAAAAAAATATATTTACATCTACCATGCCTCAGGACTTTGTTCTTGGGATCAGGGAACCATTTCTAATCTTGACAAACAAGCTGATCTAAGAGCAGAATGTCAGGGTCAGATGGAACTGGGTTGAGTCCCGGCTCTTCACTGAATAGCCGTGTGACTGGGCGAATAATTTAACCTCTTTGAGGCCGTTTCCTGTTCTGTAAAAAGAGGATCATGGTCTCTGCCGGGCTGTCATAGGGATTAAGCCATATGACATCTACGTGGGGTCCTCACACACTGACGAGTCAACGCCTTGGGGGCCACAGCTGTGATCACTGTTGCCATTACTCCAACAACGACCGCTGCTTCTCCAAGTCTGAGTGTGAAGACCGGCACTCGGCACTAGCTGGCACCCTACAAAGGTGTGACCTTGGGGAAATCACTACACAGCTAGCTCTGAGAGCTGCTTTCTCGATTTGTAAAACTGTAGCTAATAAGAACCTCAATGGATGGCAAGGAATTCATAGAACGACAGAAGTAGAGCCTCAAAAATATTACTTGTCATTCCTCCTCTGAGACAAAAAATTATCCACTGGATGTAGTTCAATAAATAGGAGACAGCCTGTGTCTTAGCCCATCACGCCCCGCATTAAGTTAATTCATGACTTCAGAAGTTCTATGTAATGGTAGAAACCACACAATTCTTTTGAAGGACCTGCTGCAAATCTCTCTAAAGGACCTTAGACCACGCTTGATTGTCTCGGAGCAGCAACACTTACATTAAAATGACTTGCCTATTTCAAGTCTTCTTTATAAACGAATTAAAGATCATTCCTGATCCTAACTGAATCCATGAGTTAACACGGAAGAATCTGACGGGCCTTAACATGTTCACAGGCGACCCCTTAAAACTGAACTCTCTTGAATAAAGACGAGTTTAAGTTCACCATCTGCCTCCACATCTAAGATAATGGCGAGAGGGTTGTGTTCATTATTTCTTTTTCAGTTGTATCAATGTCTTTAAGAAGCCTTCCATGTTTTATACCAATTATCTTCACTGTAATTATGTGCGCTGCCAATACTAACCTGCAGAGTAACCCCGGCCTTCCAAGTGCTGCCTTCCAGAGGCGGCAAACAGGAAGGGAGCCAAGAGCAAGTTCAAAGAGGGAAAGGAAGCAGTGAGTCTAGACCCTGACAAGTTAATAACTTAACAGTGGGTGAGCAAAGCTGAGAAGACAGTGAAGCAAGCTGCAGGAGAGGCATGGCGGGCAGGCCAGACAGCAGGGAGGAGAGATGCCAGAGAAGGGCGGGACGGCGGGCGTTCCAGGTCAGGGGATCCGACTGGGCCAGGTCACAGGGGTTCAGAAAAGCCCAGGCAAGAGCAGACACAGCCTGAGTCGGTGAGCCTTTGCTCCCTCCCACCCGTGTCTAGGATCCCGGCCCTCGATCACCTTAGAGAATCCCATTTCTCTTTTTTCAACTTCCCCCTTTCAATAAAGTCCTTAGGCTGGAACATGCTGGAGTCACTCCCATCACAAAATCAAATCAGAGCACTCTGCCTCACTCCACATCTCCCAGTGAGGGGTCTTCTTCCATTGCTCAATAGTGGTCTACACTTACTCTCTCCATCTCCTCACCTGGGATTCCTGCCCTTACCCACCTCATCCTAGCTTCTGCCATCTTCCTCCATTGAAATACCTTTTGCTAAAGTCACAAAGAACTGTGTCGCCGGGCGCCAGGAGCGTTCTTCCGCCTCTTGTTGGCCTCTTCCCTCCTGGAAACTCTCTGCCCTTGGCCTCTGAGACACCAGAGTCCCCTGGTGTCTAGTTTTCCTCCTCCTCTTTGGCTCTTTTCTCTAAGCTTATTTTATGGGGTCACCTTCCTCTACCTGATCATTAAACATGAGCGCTGAAGTTCCTCCATGGGCATGACTGGCTTCCTTCTCTTCTTCAAGTTCTTCCTCCTCAGGCGACTCATCCCACAGCACCAATGGTCACTTAGCTGTGGATACTGCTCACGTGTGTATCTCCAGCCCTGACTTCTCTGGGCTCTAGACATGCACTTTCCACCATCCCATTGATATCTCCACTTGGTGGCTCAGAGACACCTCACACTCAGTAGGACCTCCTCATAATCCTCTCCCGCTGCCCAAATTGGCTCCATTATCCTCCATCTTGCATGCAGACTCCGATCGCCGGAGTCCTCCCTCACCCCTCCAATTGATACCCAAGACTTGTGGATTTTACGTGAGAATCTTGGGGTGATGCAGCCTTCTTTCCATCCCCCCAGAAACCATCCTAGTCCAAGTCACCACCATCCTTCCCCAGATCCTTGTGAGGCCCTCCAACGGCTCTAATCTTGCTCTTTTGCAATCTTCCTTCCATACTGTAGCTAGACCTATCTTTAGAACAAAAGCACATAATATGGGATCACCCTGTGTTTAAAGCACATCAGAAGCTTCCTATGGCCCAATCCCTGCTGAGGCCGCCATGGCCTGTATCCCCAGGCCCTCATCTCCCTGTCAGACTCATAACACTCTCGCCTTGCTTGGGGCACTTCCTCGTGTTTTCTTTTCTTGAGTCAGAATCTCACTCTGTTGCCTAGGCTAAGTGTAGTAACCTGAACCCAGCTCATCACAACCTTTACCTCCTGGCCTTAGGCAATCCTTCTGCCTCAGCCTCCCAAGTAGCTGTGACTACAAGCATGGCA